CCCCAAAACCCCAAAACCCCAATAGACTTAATGCTTGAGACAAAGTTATAGAGAAAGACTATATAGAATATAATTAATTAGTATGATCTTATAAAATGCAATATTATTTAAGCAGATTTCTTCTAACTTAAATCATATTAATAAATTATTATATTATTGTCAGAATATATGCAATAAAACAAGTTCGCCGGTGAGGAGAATAATTCCAAATACTCTAACCCCTTATTTTAAAACTTTGTGGACTTTGAAGGAAAGAATGAACTCAAACCAGCCTAGAGGAATTCTAGTTTGAATAGTGCTAATTCTAATAGTAATAATTAATAATTATACTTATCATTTTGTAATATGGTGTTAATTTTTTCATAGATGAGCAATTTTTGAACTAAAATCAAAATTAAAACCTAAGTGCAGCACTTGGACTTATGTTTAACAGAGGAAATATCAATAGAGAAGAGGAGGAGAAGTTCTAGTAACTGGAAGTTTCAAAAGGTAACCTCATAATTTCAGATTAACACATCATTCTGATATTTTGAATTTAGCATTGAAAGGCTTTGATGAAAATGAGGGATCGTAACTAGCACACTTGGGTCGCGGATTAATGAATGAGGATTAAAAAACTATTAGCAAGGATTTGAAGAATATCAGCAAGAAAAATAAATAATAAAAGTTACAGTAAAAAATAGATATGGATCATACTGGAAGTTTCTTTGACAGAAACTAGGTAGGATACTAGGATTATAATATCCATCATTCCAGATAAACTAAAGTTGACTCCCATAAAAATATCAACTAATGCAAATCGATGAGTCGGCACTTTAGTTCGGGAAAGTTACTAAGCCTTATGAATACTTAAGAAATCAAATCTTATTAGAACTAACCCCTCAATGAACTGTTAGACAATAACAAATTTTAGGATGTTAAGCTCAAAATAAACTAGTTAACGCCTAAAAAAAAGCAAAATTCCTCCAGATAACAGTCCTTTAAGGATCCAGATTATCAGGATCATTAGCATTTGATGACTATAAAGGAAGAAACAAAGATATCGAAGGAATTTGAAGTTGATGATGACTTTTTCAAAGTTAAAATGAGTTCTATCAAGGTAAGCGATGATTATGTACACATTGAATAATAGAAGGAATTGTTCAGAGAATTTATGCACCCTTAAGGAAAAGAATAAGATGCCTCAATCATTTAGGATAGATAAAAAAGCATTTAAGCTAGCGAAAGATAGAATTAAGTATTAACAGATAATCGGAGCATTTATAATGAACAAATTAGTTAAGGGATATCAACAAGCAAAAGTAAAAGCAAGGGAAAGAAAATTCTGGAATTCAATAACACCCCTTTAAAATCTAGAAGATAGAGAATATATTCTGATACTGATGCTTTCTAGGGTAACAATCAGCCTTAGAGTTTTCCAATCACTAACAAAACTCAATTGAAAGATAAAACGTTTCATAATGCTGAAACAAGAAATGCCAAACTAAGGATAAATATGGGATAATTAAGTAACGAAGATTATATTCAGTAAAACTACACTGATTAGGAGTAACCATATAAATTCCATAGAAATCTCTAATTGGCCCTGGCAGGTGATACTTTTCCTGACTAATTTAATACTTTAAAAAAAACAAGACTTGGCAGCTTTAATCAGCAGTTATCACCTAGATAAAGAGATGATATAATAAGATAAATAAATGAGAGGGGAATAGATAGAAATGACCTGATGAGAGATACAGGCACTGTGGATTTTATAGTCGAAGATCATTCCAATGAGGAATCAAAGTAACCTTCTCCATAAATGAATAGATCATTAGATGGAAATGATCTCAATCAGAATTCCAATAATATATATGGAGAGATCGCTGAGTCTAAACTATTGTCAGAAACACATATTAGAGAGGATATCTAATAAAAGATCTAATGTTAAATGAATGAGGGCTACGAAGAGGATTTAGAGGATACTAAGGATGATAATCAAGATTAGAATAGTTAAATATTCTAGTAAAATTTAACTCAAGTGTTTGATCCACTTCTTGAAACAGCATATGGTAATAATAATAGAATAATTATTGAATATAGATTTTACATAGCCAACAAACACTTCGAAGTCTAAATACTTAAACATAATGGTGTGTGGACCAGCAGGAATTGGAAAATCTTCTTTCATTGAATTGTTTCTGGAGAAATTTAACAAAGTCCAATTTTAAGAGCTTATTAGCAAGAGAAGTAATAATAAAAACAAGAAACCCTAACCAACTTAATTAGAGGGCTTTTTGAAAGAATAAACTAATATCTATGCACCCAAGATTGTCATTACAGGAACCATCGAAGAATATGAAATAAGCAAGTCGATTAATGGCAGAGAAGTTTGCCTTAAAATGATTGATTCAGTTGGCTATGGAAATAGTATGGAGTTAAGTTCCTGGAGAAAGCATATTTAGGATTATATAAAGGGAAATGTAAGATAATCTTAAGTATTATAATTCTACCTTTTTAGTTGATCAATTATCAGACTTAAGTAGATGAAATAGAATAAATGTATTTAAAGGAACATCAAAATAAGATGAAAAAGTTAAAAGACATCAAAGATAACAGAGTCCACCTGCTTCTTTATTTCTTCGGAGGTCATCACACAAACGCTGTAGATTTCAAAATTCTGTCAAGACTGAAGAAATATGTCAATATACTGCCTATAATCCCTAAAGCTGATAGTTTTAATTCAGAAGAACTATTCAATATGAAAACTGATATCATTATAAATGGCTAAGATAGGGATATAATGTTTTTTGATTGCATTGAAGCCATTAGTCAGGCAGTTGGCTAGGTATATTAATATTAAAATTTATATAATTTAGAATGAGGAGAAGATGAAGTTGCTAACTGAGGAACTACTCAATACTGGTTATTCTAAGGGTAGCACAACACATTCTTGCCCTCCTTTTGCTATTATAAATCCCTCAGATTCAATACAAATAAAAAATAATCAGGGTTAGTATGAGATAAGGTACGGGCGCAAGATGAATTGGGGATTTTGTGATGCCTTCGATGATAGAAATGCTGATTTCTCAAGACTATATAAGCTAATCATTAGTAATTATCATGTTCATTTTATTGTCTTTATAGATATACTTTGGGATCAACTTGTAACTATCACAACCTTTATAATGGAAGATTACAGCAAGAAGAGAGATGAAAGGAAAAAGAAGAAAATTGTTCATGAAAAATAAGTCAAGAAATACTCAATTCTGACAGGAATCGCTGCTCTTGGAGGTGCAGCAATAATGGCTCTTAAATACTCAAAATAATGAATATCAAAAATAGTCTAGCATTTGAATCACTAATGCTAGATTAAAAATTATAATCATAATCTATCATCGAAGGATTTGGAATCTTATATAAATAGACAGTTAATAGAATCTACATGATTTTTAGTTATTTCTAAAAAATTCATATCTTAATCTCATGGGGTTTTGGGGTTTTGGGGTTTTGGGG